GCGACACGAACCCCATCAAAAACCACATATGATCTCATATTCTCTGGAGGGTAAGTAGAATTTGCTCAACTTCTGAATTAGAAAAACAAGACACTTAAGTTTTAACTCCCCCAGGCATAATACACAAAGGAATAACTTGGCTATTATCTGAATGTCCCCTTTGTCCTATAGCTCAAAATCACGTTCAAGTCCATGACTTTAGATTTATTGTGTTCGAACGTTCTTGCTAAAATTGAATCCAGAAAAGCGCTTCGGACTCACAATACTTCTTTAAAGTATTAAATATATGCTCTAGCACTGGGTCAATACCGTTGCTGTTGGATTACCGATATCCGAGGGTATCTCCATCTATGAAGTAAGTGCTTTGGTACTGACATGATTTAAACATGTTAAACATAACTTTTTGAAATGATCAATTGATAAATGTATATACAATGTATTAAGAATCTAAATTTTTCCAACACCCTCAGGCAAAAGTCATCCTTGGATTTGGCAATTATTGTAGGGTCCCTTCTGCTCAAATATTTCCCATCGTATTCAAGTGCTCATTCAATGTCTTTGTTTTTCAAGTTTTTGTTTTCGTTATTGTTTCAAAGGTTCCTGATGAAGATATATATAAAAAAGAGTTGTTTTCATTTTAACGATGCTTGTGCATTGCTAATCTACGGAGGTACCATCATGCTACATGTAGCAGTCATTGTGTTGGTACTGACAAAATTCCTAACATTTATTTCTTTCATTCTTTGTCGATTTATTTAGGATACACTGAGCTATTCCCTCAGGCAAAATTCACTTTACATGGTTCTGAAACTGAAAACAAAACTTAATTAATTGCATGCGTCTGTAGCACTTTTCTTGATTTACCTTCATCGGGAACGATTAAAGCTGAATATGTGGAAGACAAAGATATATCAGAACCGAAATTTGTTGAAGAGCTATGGAACAACAAAGGACCAATAATAACATCCGATTCCATCTAAGGCCAAATTTGCTGAGGGAACACTAGTTTCTAAATTATTATAGTAATATTAATTTTCAAATTTTACGTTTCATTCGTAATGTAATTTTGTAATAGACAATTTTGTAATATAAATGAGTGATGATTTTAAGGTAACAGGTATTTCAATGATTTTAGTAACATTTTGCATGCATTTAGAACACGTGGAACTGCATATGAATATAGGAAAATGATAGTTCAATTGTCTCTATATTCTATATACATAGACAAAATAAGTTTCGACGTCATGATTACTTTTGCCTTGTTTGCGCCTTTATATTAGCGTAATATATAATTTTTTCAATGCCTATGTGCAGTTCCTCAGGCTCTAAATGCATGCAGAATACCACGAGATCTGACATTTACGTACTTGTTACCTTAAGTTGAATGCTCTGCAACTTACACATTCTTCTGTCCTTTTTGTTCCTCAAGTAAAACTGATGATAAATAGTAGGATTCGTGTTCCAACATTTTTTTCTCATGAAGATAAAAAAATAAAAAAAAGCTTTAATAAATACTTGTAGCTGTTTTGTGTTATATATCTATCCCTGTCTAAGGAGTACGACCTCTCCGATCTGTATCTTGCTTGACCATCTTGCAGAACCTACCTTTAGTTTTGTTTTTTCCAAATAGTTCTGACTACATGTATGCAATATTTGAAACTGTACGTTATGCATTATAAAAATAGTCTATATTGTTTTATTTTGATAAACGACATTCTATATCGTTCAGAGATTGATTGTTCATATAGTCAAAGATAAGCACTACCAAATTGCTATAAATCCTTTAGGGATGAACTTTTTTTTGCAAATAAAGATATGCAGTAAATGATTGTCTCTATGTGTCATGATTTTCTAGTAAGTTTCCATATAATATAATTGCATTGCCGACTCAGGCGTTTGAAGATATATCAAAAGGCATGTATTTACGGAACAGTTAACATCTTTCTAAAGACACACTGCACCTTTCACAATGGTTCAGTAAAATTGTTGCCGTTAATGTTTTCCAAAATTTTCATGAATGATCAATATTGTCTTGTCCTGATTTCCATTAAATGTAATGAAACATTAACTATCGTTTCCCATGACTATAGTTTTGTATGGTTTTTGTTCAATATTGCGTGCCTATTGTATTTATCTTTTTAGTTGTATATTTTAATTCAGAAGTTTGTAATACACAGCTTTAGAAAGAGAATAATAAATATTTACCTACTTTAGGTATAGGTAACCGAAAAAATGTAACTCGTTAATATACAGATTTTTATGCTGAATCAGCAATCAATTTGAAGGGATGATTTCATTAGTTGCAGAGTAGTAATTGATGAATTAGAATTGTATATTTATTAGCAAATACGCATAATAAGACAAGATAAGGCATGTAATATGTTTACGCCATTAGCTCAGACATATTGAACATGCATGGTTCATGCAAAGTACTTAAGTCAGTTAAATGGTTTTTGGTGAATAAATCAAAGTGCTAGATATATTTGCCAAAAAAAAAAAAAAAAAACCAGCTGTAATAATATTGTTTGTGAAAAAATCATCTCAAATACAGATGTTGAAATAAGGGATAATAAATTCTGCGAAAATATCGTAATCGTCATGGAAGTGGGTTTATATACACCCCAAAATAACTACCTTTTCGATAATACATCATGATAATGCTTTTGATTCTGACGAATTATATTACTATAGCTACTACAGCCAAAAAAGAGTTTTATTAGTTAACGCAATCAAATTTCTCTGAACGCCTTGAGTCAATTAGTATATTCCTGACTTGGTAAGGCATTTGCGTATGATTTTATAGCTTAAGTTAATAAATCTTATCATTAAGTTTAAGACCGAGAAAAAATTCGGCTGACCGGCTGGTCAATATCAATATATATTTATAGATATAACATTTCTTTTCCGATTTTTCAATTTCTGTTGTTACGTCTTACAAATTACATATGCTTTTCGTAACCGAATGCACCTAAATTTTGATACTTGGTACATATTGATTTATGTTCAATTGTAAAAATGTAAAAAAAAAAATCAATAATAGTTAATAACGATTTTTAAATTTCCTTTGAATATTTTCGGAAAAAACCTACAACATATATAATATAGTTTTCCGAACATTTTTCATACGTTCATTTCTGTTTATTATGACAAGATCTCAAATTAAAGATATTTTGAACGTTTTTGCAGTCTTTCATACATGCTTGAAAATGAATATATTGATATATCTCGACAACAAATTAACTAGAGTTGAATCTTTGGATTTAACGTTTAGATCGAAAGAAGTATTTGTTGTAGACTGCCTACTCTTTCGTTTTAAAATGAAGTAAATAACCGAATTACCAAATATATATACTGTACAAAGATTTATGTTTACAACTATGCGCAGGAACTATTTTGTTTTAATTATGTATTTCTTTCCAGTATGATCTTTTTTGACCGGGCCCGAGTTTTTGGTGTTACATCTTACATAGTCTACTCGAGTTTTTTTGCCCTAAACATAACTTATTTCCTACCAAGCTATCTAACATATATCTTGATAAGCCCCGTGGTTGTCTAAATGTTTGCAGGTTCAGTGTGATTGTAGGTCTAAATTATGCCAGATTTATATCATTGATATTACTCCATTGTTTTGTTCTTCAATTCACAGTTGTTTTGTGATCCGCTCAAACCGGTGCTAGGGGCTGTCTTACACTTACAGTAAGGTGATATATTTTTTTGGCTCTGTGTTGAAGGATGACGAGGAAAAATCTATTTTAGAAACATGTATCCTTTTGTCAATGCCAGCTAAAGTATAGTGTAGGATCTCACAAGGAAATTAGAAAAAGAAACATAATTATGTTTTGGAATATAAAGAAAAAAGATCTTGTCCTTAGTACTATGGCTATAATAGTTGGTACGAAACAAGACGATGTTTGTATATCCATTCCACATACAAACTAATTTATCTATCAAATTACGAAATTATGCAAATGTTCGTTCTTTAAACATCTCTTTAGAATTACGATGTCCACAGTACGAAGTGCAGGCTAGAATTATATACATAAAGAAGTCGGTTTACAACCTAAATGTTTGGCGTTAAAAATTCATACGCCTACAATGTACATGTATTACACATGCACAAGAAGACAATCAATTCCCGATATACGTATGTGCCACTACAATTGTTTCGTTACCAGCAAGTGGCAAACATTTTATATAATAGAATAAGTTAAACATAGAATAAAATAAGTCGCTCTCTTGAATGATGTTATATTAATATATTTTGTTTATATTGAGGACAAAACAGAACAATTTAAGGTTAAATCGTTCGGTATGGTATCGAGCATATACCCAATGAAGGTTATTTTGTATACACGTGTTGATTGCATCAATACTTAATACCAATTTATGTATTTATCATTCTCTGAAGGTACCTTCCACTAAGTTGCAATTGCTTTGTTTTGATAAAATTGACAAATAATAAACCATTGAGTTTCCAGTTTATAGAACTATGTAGTTGTGCTAAATCTGATGAAACAATTAATTCAGACAAATATAACGGCTTTGGTTGACCTATTATGGTTGTTTAAATTAAATATTTTTAAATCTAATACTTTTTTATTTCCAAACGTTTGGTATTGATTGTATAAAATAACTGTTTACCTTCTTAATAAGTAAATCTTAGCATATAATACAGGTGACGCTTATAAAAAAAAGAATTACAGAGTTCTTTGTCTTAAAATTGAGAATGGAAACGGGGAATGTGTCAAAGAGACAACATACCGACCAAAGAGCAGAACACAGCCCGAAACCACCAATGGGTTTTCAACACAGCGAGAAAATCACACACTCGCACATGCCAGTGGCGGGATTCAGCTGGCCCCTTAACAATAATGTATACTAGTTCGGTGAAAATGGACTAAACTCCGAAACATACTTGATTCGGGAAAGGCGGAAAAAATGCGGCGGGGTTAAACATGTTTTTTGAGATCTCAACCCACCTCTTTAACATGCTTAATTGATACTTTATTTCAAAAAAAAACATAATTGCAATTAGATGACATATCAAATACTTTTTTTTCGTTTATTTTCCGTCTAAAAGTAACATCCAAGACATGCGGTGTTCCCGTTGTAGCATTTACTATAAAATGTCCATCCAGCCTCGATATGATGTGGTATGTCAGTTACAATCTCTGCTCCAAATGCCAGTACCTCACATCTGAAATGGACAGATTGGCTGTTTTGCTCAATTATATTCCTAACTTGTTGTATATTTATAGGTGTGTCTAGTGGGACTATTTGTACAAGCCATGCAGTTCCAAATAATCGAAAATTCAATTAATAATTCCATGTTCCAGAACGTCAATAGATCACATACTTCCCCATGCTGATATGTTTTGGGCAATTATTGTTTTGTACAATTTGTGTGTTCATTGATAAAAACAGTACCAACTGAGGGTAAAGTTTTCTTGGACTGTTTAACATTATTACATATGTAAGTGGTTGTCTTTAGTCATATCGGAGTTATGTGGTTCGTTTGATATACATAATGAGATTTAATATTGATCTGATAAGTTAAACCCTATTCAATAGATTTGTATAGTTGTTCTTATGTTGTACTGTTACACCACTGTCCCAAGTTAGGGGAAGGGTTAGCGCCATTAAACTATTTTAACATCGCCACATTCCGTATGTGCCTGTCCAAAGTCATCCAGTAGTTGCTGTATATCATATCTATGTGATATGAGTTTTCCTCATTGTTGAAGGTGACCTATAGTTGTTAATTTCTATGTCATTTGCACTCTTATGGAGAGTTATCTCATTGGAAATCATGAAAAATCTTCTTATTTTATACTGATATGACTAAAATGATATATCTATCTATTGGAGACACACAGGACGATGATTTGGAAAGCTGAATGACATTTCTTGGCCCTCAATATTGACCAATTCATATCTGTTACTTTGTCAGATATATGATTAGTATGCTGAATTTATTTAAAATGTGTTTAAGCTTGGACGATTAAGAGCTAGTAAACATGTGAAGACACGTTTATATTGTTGCAAATTATAAACTGCTTGGTATATGTGTTAATGTTGATGTAACAGTAATTTGATTGATTAATTGTTTCTTTTAAAATCTCATTTTGACAGTAGTTTTATCAGTTCAACGACAATTCCTGTTCAGATGGCGTCGTCTGAATAATAATGTTCTAAAACAAACCTGTTCAAAGCACTGTTGAAATTATAACCCATACAAATCTTGAACAGTCCACAGCGTGTAGCACACTCTATGTGTGATGGACATTGAATGTCATCAACTACAACCATGTCAGCCATGTGATTAACCATACTACAGCTATCAAAACGACCAGCAAATTTATCTGAAACTGAATTCTAATCATTCTTCATTTTTTACCCACAAAGACAATGAAATTGACCACTTGTCATTTAATTTGGTGATAAACGGATATCACGTGATGATAAATAACACGCATAACGTATATAATTTTATGATGGCAATCTCTTTATTTGTATATATTAAGTTATATAGTAGTGTCATTCAGAAAGCAACCCTGAACCTTAAATGATACAAAACTTTATCAATTTCGTTTGTCTGAAGCACTTATCTTAATTTATCTTCATCAGAAATTCTCAAAACAAAAACAATAAAGGCCAATGATATATTATACCTTTTAGCGTGAAGAGTTATTTGTCAAAAAGGAACTAAAAATAATCAAAATGATCTAAGCTCAATTTTGCAAGTGTGAGTTAAACTCTGAATGAAAAAAAAACATATATATTTACATTACCTTCTATATGAATTTTCCAATCCCCTGTTTCAGAAAAACTTGTATAAACTTCAATCCCTTTCACTGCAAACTGATTCGTACTGATCCAACTATCCAACATATTTTCGTCAACGACAAGGCCAGTTCCATATGAAATTTTTCCACCGGCCCAACTTATCCAAAATGGAAGATACATATTGCAGTTAAGAATATTCAGAGAATTTATATATTGCATATATCGACTTCCAACATCTAACGAATCGTTTATTCGATATAAAATACGCGACTTTTTGTTGAAGCTATTACCAAATTGAATCTCATACAATGGTTTTGATGAATTTTTGACATCGGAATTTGAAAGAAGAACAAATGCGTCTTTACATGCCTTTACTTCATACATCAGGGACGTCATTCCCCCAAGGTCAAGGTTATACTTATTGATGTCTGTACTATACTTCATAATATCATGTGTTCTTCGTGAAGATATTCCTTGACCACTATTTGGGGTCGATACAGTGTTCATGATATGTACACCTGCAATATAAACAAGTCGAGAAATTAGAAGTTCTAAGACCTTGTCGGTCTTCAAATAAAAAAAAAATCTACATTAAAGTGGCGCTTTCCCACAGATGAAATCTATCATATTGAACTTGAAATAAAGAAAACCATATATTCAATTTAATAAGGATTAATTTAGTTTCGTGGGTTCAAATTTCATGACATGAGGAAAAAATAATAACGCGGATATTCAATTTCGTGGTTTTGTCTAAATCTGCATACAAGCCGATAAAAAAAGTGTACGTCATTGAACTTTCATGGTTGACGATAATTGGTATCCAACAAATGGTAAAATTTGAAGTATCTTTCATATCTAAACATCTTGAGTTTGGCAATAAGGATGAGTTGAGAATTGTACTCTACGATATTAAGTTTTGAACGAACCCTTTTCGAGTAGCAACATTCCGGCCATTGATACAAATGAGTTTATTGCACTCAGTTGATAATTATCCAACATCTGTAAAGATTTTTGTGAAAGTTTAGAAAAAAAAAGTATGGAGAAAAAGCTTAAGTTTACCATTCGATTTGTTTGTAAATGACGCCATAATGACACGAATGACTTGGTTGAACATTGTCTATGGAATACCTGTGTCTCGTATGACCATGGACATGTTCGACTTGTTGAGGGCTCTATTGAAGATCTTTTCGGTACTTTATTCCTCGATTTTGACATCACATTATTCGAATGATACGACTTGACAAACTTATTGTAAACCAACTAATAATAGCGTTACTTTCGCGAGTAGAAAAAAACACGAATATAAATCGCCGCGAATATGTAAAAATTGGATTTTTCCATACTTGTCTAAATCAAGTAAATTTGAGAATCGCGAAATCAATTTGCCGCGACATGGGCCAAAAATGGCTATAAGCAAAATAAAGTATTCGCGAAAATAAGCTGGTTTACAGTATTTTTATAAAACAAGAAATAACGATTGAATGACAAAATATCATTAAACATATCACACGACTTCGTGGATGGCTATAGTCTATTTCGAACAAATTTACCTATCTGACAGCTTTCAATTCCTTTAAGTTTGCGCTTCCCTGATAGAGGTTATAGAAACAGGCGCATCGGACGCACCAAATGTGTCATTTGCGATCGGTTCAATGACGTACACCAAGTCCAAATTGTAAAATTGAGAATGGCAACGGTTCCTGTTTGCAATTTTACCGTCAAATTTATATACCCAATAAAACCCTTCCACGCCGAACAGTTTTCTAAATACCAACATTTAAATGGTTAAAAGTAGAAATCAAGATAATCTGATTGTTAAACTCCTGCTGATACTATATTTACCGCACGGAATTCATGTTTAATTAGTAGAACGTTAACTTCATATGAAAGTATAGTATAAAGAAAATTCATAACAACAAGTAAGCTCAATCCGGAATTTTTTATTAAAAACAACTCGTGGAAGATACCGACTTATAATGTTTTTCGCAAGACACACATTCCGTTAAAAGAATCATACAAATTAAAAGGTAAAACTAAATACGAAGTTGAAGAGCAATGAGGACAAACGATTGCAAATGATTTGAATGTGAAACACGAATGCAAATATTCAACCAAGCACAAATTTTCTACCTGGCAGTGTGCAGACTTTGATAAAGCCTTGAAATAACGATAAGATGTTCACAAAAAAAGCACAGAAATTGTCCGCAATACAAAAATGAATAGCCACGAAAATGAATGAGACCGCAATGTTTGAAAATGGTCTTACCTCTAGTGGTAAAAACATGTAGGCATAACATTAATATTTCTGTATGCAGGGCCATCTTAAACACCACATTCATAAAATCCTGTATTCATTTGATGACATGAAGAAAAATGAACAATCCATTCATTTTAAACATTTGACTATTTAATGAAAATAAAAACATTATAATTATCCCGTTATTTAAAAAAATCAATGAACCCCCATATTTGCATAACCATGTCTACAACATTATAACAAGAATAAATATATAAATATATCCGAAGACATTTATCAAATTATTGTATTGTAATAGTTTAAACAATGAAAAGTATGTACATACAGTATTAACCCTTTCTGAGCGTCGTGAAAATTGTTTTTACACCATATCAATAATTTATTTTATACATTCCTAAATTAAACAAGTAATCAACCTTTAAAAGCCCCTACAGTTCTTTATTTGTTCGATATTATCAATACATATACACATGATTACATATCTTTGTACACATGATTACCCTCAGATTAATATAACAAACATATTCTAAGACATACTATATCAATTTGAAGTATTTAAAGTGTTTGGACAGGAAAAACTCTGTAAATATATAGTACCAGCCCTTAGTATATGCGTTGTAAATATTGTTTGAAACAATGCATTATGATGTTAATATTGTTTGAAACCATGCATTATGTGTGTAGTGATGTCATAGATTTTAACGAACGTAATCAATGCATCACTGGTAAATTATTAAGTCAGGGATTTCGTTACCACAAATTACTTAAAACATTTACTAGATTCTTTCATTGATACAAAGATTTGATTAGTACATTTGGCTGTACCTGTAGAAAACTTATTAAAAATGGTATTTCACATCCTAAATTTTATGGTAATATTGTACTTAAAGCGCGGAAATCATTATGTGATCCGTGTAAACTCATCGAACCTTTAAACAAACTTATTAGTAAGGGTTATCGTGCCAATGTTGTAATTAGATCTCTGAATATAGTTTACATTGGCACTAACATCGATTTTGTCATTAGCAAATTAATACATAACTAAATTTGTATTTTCTTTTCAAACGGGATGTATAGAGATACATTGTACACACACGTTCATTTTTATATATAAAGAAGTCACTCCTATCGATTTTGTCATTAGCAAATTAAAACATAACTAAATTTGTATTTTCTTTTCAAACGGGATGTATATAGACACACACACGTTCATTTTTATCTATAAAGAAGTCACTCCTAACTATCCTACTACCTGTCGATACATTTATTTTTGGCATTGCACAAGTCATGTCTTCTTTGACTGTTCATGACGTTAAAATACTAAATCTCTGGGATGTATTTTAGTTGATTTAAGTGTCTGATGCATGATTTTTTATTATTAATTGTTTTGGCTTTTAACTAACTGTCAGTAACTGCGAGTAATCTCAAATCGTGCTTTCTTTTAATTTGACCTGTTGATACTATTTGTAATGCTTTTTTGTTATCTAATGTTAACATGGATCTTGGCTATATACCAGCTTAGGTTATTTGGTATTTAATTACTACAAATTGTCACTTCTTCGTACTATGAACATCAAAATTATTTCATTTTTCCTTAGATGCTGTTCTTGGACCTGTACAGGAAGTTTTATCTAGCACTAATTGTATATTTTTATTGTTTATATTCACCCCATATGTACCAAGTGTTAGATTAGTTTTATTGTTATTAAAGAAATTTCTTGTTATTCCTAAACGGAAGATTTTATACACACAGAAGAAGTAGTATACTTAACAACAAAATTATTTTCATATACCTGTGTATAATATGACGCAGGTTTCTTCATAAGTGATGATTTTCTATAAATTGTTTGAAATTTCACAGTGATATCATACTTTAACTTTGTTTAAACTTGTTTATTTACTTTTGACTTTAATTATTTATCCCTTGTAATTTTTTATTAACTGTCTATTGCATTCAGGTGTCACAGGTCAAATTTATTCGTTCATTGTGTATTAATTTATGTTTTTTGATTGAGTTAAGCCTTCCAATTGATATTTTATAGTGTGTTTTTCTATGTTGTGATGTTTTACTATTGTTTCAGAAAAGGGAGAAGGTTTGGTACCATTAAAACGTTTAATCCCGCTGCAAATGTTTGCACCTGTCCTAAGTCAGGAATCTGATTACAGTAGTTGTCGTCTGTTTATGTAGTTCATACGTGTTTCTCGTTTCTCGTTTTTATATAGATTAGACCGTTGGTTTTTCCGTTTGAATGGTTTTACACTAGTAAGTTTTTGGGGCCCTTTATAGCTTGTTGTTCGGTGTGAGCCAATGCTCCGTGTTGAAGGCCGTACCTTGACCTATAATGGTTTACTTTTATAAATTGTAACTTGGATGGAGAGTTGTCTCATTGGCACTCATACCACATCTTCCTATATCTATTAATTTTGTAGTTTAATTTTATATAATATTCATTTAACAAGCTAACCTTTGATAGAAAATAAGTTAATAGGGGTAAAAAAAAGGAGTGATTTAGATTTTTGCACCGTCGTATACTTTTTTTAACAAAACCTTACGAAACAAGTCATAAACTATTTCTGAAAAAGATAAATTCAGTATAATCATGCTAATTACTTCTAAGTCACAACTACACTTATAATGGGAGTTTTTTTGACAATATAATGAATGTTATTTTTTATTGCTTAAATGATTGCCAATTTATAATTTAAGCAAACTGGTGATTTCCATGATTTGAAATTTGATCATTAAATAAGAATAACTTTGTCGACGTTCAAATTTCATATGCTCTTCAAACCAAAAATCATATTTCAATGTTATATTTTCATTTTGGGACTAAAAGTAAAATCACAAAAAAAAAAAAACTGAACTCCGAGGAAAACTAAAAAAGGAAAGTCCTCAAATCAAATGGCAAAATCAAAAGCTCAAACACATCGAACGAATGGATAACAACTGCCATATCCTGACTTGGTACAGGGATTTTCTCATGTAGAAAATGGTAGATAAACCCTTGTTTTAAAGCTAGCTAAACCTCTCACTTGTATGACAGTCGCATCAAATTCCATTATATTGACAACGATGTGTGAACAAAACAAACAGACATAATAGGTAAAAATGTCAAAAATAAGGGTACATCAGTCAACATTGTGTTATAATCTTAATCACTATAAATCAAACAAATATGTCACAAAGAAGCACAAAATGGCATATAGACAGAGCATATTAGCAAAAATTAAAGACAAGAATACACAAATTTACCATAGTACAATAACACAATGACGAGATGTATAAGTACAGAGCCCCGTCATATATTTATCAAAGAAACATAAAAAGGCATATAGACAAAGCACATTAGCAAAAATGAAAGACAAGAATACAAAAATGTTGTACAATAGCACAATGACGGGATGTATAAGGACAGAGCCACGTCATACATGTATCAAAGAAACATAAAAATGCACATAGACAAAGCAAATTAGTAAAAATGAAAGACAAGAATACGAGAATTATCAAAGAACAATAACACAATGACGGGATGTACAAGTACCGAGCCACGTAAAATGGATATCAATAAAAACAGACTAAACAGTAAAAGTAATATTCATAAAGACAAATAAAAGAATAGTATAACACGTTATCAAGATCTTGAATTTGTATCCGAATGTTTAATTCGGGTCAACGGAGACGTGCAATTGTGTAAATAGCTATCAAAGAGACAGATGTCAAAAAATAAATAATTCTTAATATCTAAAATACTTTTGAAAATTGAAATAACGAAAGATTATTTATGTACGTTATGTACAAATCAATCCAAAAAATCAGCACACGATAGCTATAAACTATAGTATATTTTAATTAAAATGAAAAAAAATGTCAAGGTCATATGGTATCCTTTAATGCTACATGTCTTGATGTAATACACCCATGAAGGGAAATATAGTGGACAGTGGAATGTCAGAGCAAAAGTCAAGTTCACAACAAATCTAAATCGATTCGAAATATGAATGTAATACACCTTCATTCCAAACATAAACATTTATGTCAGCAAGTTTAAACAGGAGTCATGATAAGGAAAAAAAAAAACTACAACAAATAATGTCCGAGGGAAGACACGACAAAAAACAAAAAAATATACAAGAATAAAGTGTAAATGTGTAAGGACGCTACACATGCTACATGAATAGTTTTTCAAACCCCATGCGTGAGTAAAAATACAATTTGATAACCACAAATTGAAATGCGATAAAATATCTCTTGATACCACATCGATTGATAAAAGTAATGAATGTCACACATATAATTACATGTTACACAGCTTTGTTTTACGATTTCATTTGACGAGGTATCTTTAGGTGCCATAATATAAGCCTTTCTTTTTATCGAAAGCCGACGGGGTCAAAATACTTAATTTCTAAATGTCAATTTGCTACTATTAATGTGTAATTTCAAAATGTCCATTCGTAAATTGTCAATTTGTAACTTGTTACTGTGTAATTTCAAAATTCTTAATTCTCAAATTGTCAATGTGTTACTTGTAACTGTGTAATTTCAAAAGTTTTTGTCCCCGTTGGCATTCTCTATCTTTTAAGTCGTTAGATTTGAAATTGAAACTATCAAAATGTTTGAGATTGTGTTGTCCTATTCGTCGTGTCGTATATGTTCCATATCTTATTTGTAAAATTGACCTTCAGTGTATTGGGGAAAAGTTCATTTTATCCGTTTGTATCCAAAATGTAAGAAAGTACATTGAATATGTTTGGTGTAAGCCAAGTCTTTTTTTGAACTCTTGAGAATAAAGGACATTAATAAACGCAATTGTAGTTTACCGATGTTCATATCTCAAAAATCTACTAAGAAAACACAAATCTGAGGAAATTGCACGCACTCCAAAACGAGCGAAACAGATTGCATTTACAGAGTGAGCGTCTCTCGATACGCATTCACCATTCTCTAGTTGAAGCAAGATTTAGTTAAAATGTCACAATTGGGATCAGAAGACATTCCGATAACTGCTTTAGGAAAATACATTTACTAGTAACTACATTTCAAATCAGAAGACACTCAGATAACTGTTTTAGGAAAATACATTTTACTGCATTTCAAATCAG